AACCAGACTAGTCTTCTGAGGTTTTCAGACCCAAACTATTTAGAAAAGGGCTTTTTTGTCTGTTTATCTGAACTCGGAATGAACTACTGAAACATTTGAGGTTTGTCCCTAATAAAAACAGGGGTTTGAATGGCTGAAATATTCCACAGCATAAATGTGGCCTTCAAAGGGAGCAGAGGTGGTTGTGTTTTCCTGGGACACGTTCTGCCTGGAGTCAAGGCTCACTGTTGCTTTAAACTCATAATCAAGGGTGCTGATATCTTCCAAATGATCCCATAGAGTTCCTGCCCCTCTCTTAAAGGGTGGGAAGCTTACTCCTGCAGCTGAATCTGAAATCCATCACCTATGTACTTAGGTCTGCCCCTTTTTGAGTGCTGCCTGGGACCTGCTGGTGGGATTTGTGAGTTAAACCACTCCCTGGGCTCATTTTTTGCTGCCTGTCTCCAGCATGGCAGTTCCCCTTCCAGCCTCCACATCTGGCACTGTGGACCCTCATACCACAGGACAGCATTGCCCACCACCTCCCCCACTGAATCCATGGGGGGAATTCCTGGGCATTTCCTGGCCACCTGGAGTTCAACTTGGTTGCCCTTTGGCCATGCTCCCTTAGGCCTGGCCTGTCTTCTGGAAATCTGGACCAATGTGAAGGTCAAGCACTGCAGCAGCAAAAGATGTGGAGATTTCCAAAGCTGATGGGTGCTCATGCTCTCTCACTGTCACTCAAAAACAAAAGGAAGTTTCACTGCCACAGGTTGGAGCCCTATGGTGGGGAAGCAGTTTCCTTCTGTCAGTTATTCAGGTTTACAATTTGGGAAAAAGCAAAAAAATACCACTTTAGAACTGTCCTGTTGGAACTGCAAGGGATGCCAACCTTTGTTTGTTACCCATTCCTGGCTAGAAAGGAAGCTGCATTTTGGGACATGACTGCATCTCAAGCCAAAAGCCTGAAATTTCCTTTTCTGAGAAGGTCAAAAGAAGACATTGCAGCAATTTTAAAGCTTTGTTGCAACTTCGTTTGCTTCCAGCCAGGAAGTTTGACAAAAATAATCCCTGCCATTAAAAGTTTTGTTTTCAGCAAATCAACATTTTGTTTTTTTTCCCAGAGAAAAAGGCTCTTGGAAAAATTCCTGCTCTGGGGTTGGCTCAGAGTTGAACAAAACAACAGTGTCTCCTAGTGGCTGACTCCATTCCCAAATCCATCTTGGCTTTCAAGTGTCTCTTCCTTGACCCTCCTCCTACATCTTTGCTCATCAGGGAGTGAGAGAAGTGGGAAATTAATTGTTCTCTGAGCAACAAACCATTCCATAAGCCATAAAAATATCTATGGCAGGCTGGTTTCTAGGTTCCAGTTGGTGTTGAAAGAAGGTAATTACATTTGAAGGCTGTCTCCCTGGCTGCTTGGCTCAGCTGCTCTTCAGCTTCCACTCTAATAATCCAAAAGCTCCCATCAGCAGCTTCGCCAGCATGCAGGGCTATCCATCCTTGTCTTCCCAGACCTCTCCTGTGCAGAGCAGGCTGTGTTGCTGGGTCAATTCTGCCTCCCAGCAGCCTGGATTGCTGAAGGATGATGAAGATCTCCTGTCTGAGGCACGGTTGGCTTTGCAGTGTCAGCCTGCTGTCCATCAGCCTTGCCCAGGTGACCCCCCCATCATCTCCATCTGCTGGGTCAGCTCCTCATCACAGCTATTGATGATCTCATCAGGGCCACCTTGTCCTCTCCTTTCCCTCTTCCTCAGGCTCTCTTTCCCCTCCCCTGAGGGATGGCTGCAGCTTTTCTCCTCCACGTGTATATGGAGCAGAAGACACAGTGATGGAGAGTCAGCAAGAAGGGCACCAGATTGTGGAAGCCAATTGGCAAATCAAGCCATGAGAGGGGCAGATGAACTGCTTGCAATGCCATGTTCTCCACAGGAGAATCTTGGACCTTGACACAGAAAACATGGGATCCTAGAGAATAACTTCTTACCAATTCTTTTTATTTGCCTGAGGGTTTTTTAAGTCTGTTCAGTTGAGGTTTTTCATTGACTTCCTTGATAATGACTCCAGAGATTGTCTTGTCATAGTCACCTAACTTCAGGATTAGGGATTTTGAAGTGATCAGCAGCTATTCCAATTCTCATGATAAAATTGTGACTTGACAGCAGCAAGGTGAACGTGGAGAACACTGAACTCCCTCTGACTTCAGCAGACGAGGCTGCTCCTGCAGTGCAGGCTACAAGGAGCTGCAGAACCTCAGAGAATGGGCAGGTTCTCCCAGCAGAAAGTGCTACACAACAACCCTGTCCCTTCAGAGCTGCCCAAGCTGCAGCTTCCCTACTGCTGATCATTTCCCAGCCTCAAAGACTACCCTCAACCTGCCACGAGCACCCTGTCCCAAGGAGTCCTCAGCCTCCTGCCTGGAGGGAGGCAAGAATTCAGCAAGTTATTTTGCTTTCTTGCTAAGAATGACCTCATATAACCCCAGCTGAGGGAGACAGAGTGTGCCAGCCATGCTCTGCTCCTGACAAATAGCTGGAGGATGTGGGCCTGGGAGCCCACAAGGCTGTTTTGGTTCCAATCTCTGCTGGGGAGCTGGGTAGATGCCATCCTAGAGCAGCCCTTTCCTTCAGCTCTGTGTTTCTTGCAAAGGGAAGACCTTTGCAGCTGGGCAGAGATGGACCTTGGAGTCCTGGTGGATAATAAGTTTGCCATGAGCCAGCAATGTGCCCTTGGGACCAAGAAGGCCAGTGATATCTTGGGGTACATTCAGAAGAGTGGGGCCAGCAGGTCAAGGGATGTTCTTCTCCCATTCTGCTCTGCCCCAGTGAGGCCACTTCTGGAGTATTTGGTCCAGTTCTGGGCTCCCCAGTTCAAGGGACTGGAAAGAGTCCAGTGGAGGTTACAAAGATGCTGAGGGGCTGGAGCATCTCTGTGCCAGGACAGGCTGAGAGCCCTGGGGCTGCTGAGCTGGAGAAGCCTCAGAGGGGATCTGAGCAGTGCTGAGCAAGAGCTAAAGGGTGGGATCCAGGAAGATGGGGCCAGACTCTGGTCAGTGGTGCCCATCAACAGGACAAGGATCAACAGGCACCAACTGGAACCCAGGAGGTTCCATCTGAGCAGGAGGAAAAAATTCTTTCCTGTGAAGGTTCCAGAGCCTGGAGCAGCTGCCCAGAGAGGTTGTGGAGTCTCCTGCTTTGGAAAGTTTCCAAACCCACCTGGACACTGACCTGGGCACCCTGCTGTGGGTGAGCTGCTGGAGCAGGGGGGCTGGATGGGATGATCCCCAGAGGTTCCTTCCCACCCCATGGTGCTGGGGTTCTTTGTGATTCTCTGCCTGGGTTGTTTGGGCATTATCAGGGTGGGGAGTAGCACCACCAAGCCCTGAGTGATGCTGAGGAGGGAGTGGTTGTCCCTGCAGCAGGGAAGGTGTGAGAACAACAGCCTGGTGATGCTGGCACTCAGGTGCACTGTGCAGCCATCTGGGCCACCCCTTGCTGGAGATTAAAGAACTGAAAATTGCAGAGTCCTTCCCCTGGCCTCCCTTCCTAATTGGTGTGTATGGATTATAGCCACGAGGACTCAGGCTCTAAGTGCTCTTTTTCCTGCATAAATGGTTGAGCAAAAGACAGTCTCTTGCATAAAGTCGTTTAGCCTGTGAATGATGGTTCATTAGCAGCCCACAGACTGTCGCTGCCTGTAGTAGGGGGGTGGGGGCTCTTCCTGAGCTCGAGTTAACTCTTTCATCCTCTTCTTCGATGGCCAAGCACTGAGTTTGCAGACTGTGGAGTTAAAAGTGGCTGTGCCACAGGATTCCAAGGGTCTTCTCCCTTCAGAGCCTCAGATAACGCAACAACATCCCCAAGAAACTGCCAACTTTTAACGTAGCATCTAAAGACAGATGGGGAATAAAGGAAGCTATTATCAGTCAGGAGATGAGTCAGATATGAAAATCACACCTTTCTCTAGACAATATTATTCCACCAAGGAAATGAAAAAGACTCATTTTTGCAAAAGAGCAGACCTGGAGTGTTAGAAGAACACATTGCAGAGCCTGGTGCTGCTGGAGGGAGCAGCTCCAGTGAGTGAACCCCATCCCACCTTTGGCACCTGTCCCTGCTGTGGCACGTTTTGGAGCCTGGGTGCTGGGCAGGCACTGCTGCTCTTCCTGGACAGGAACATCTCCAGCAGTGTCTGAAAAGCAGGGTTGTAACCTAAGGTAATTTGGTGCTGGTGATGGAGGAGGGGAATGGAAAAATCAATTCTTGGATTTGAGCTGTGTGCAGTCTCATACACTCAGGGAAAGCCACAAGGATCCTGGAGGGAATCCTGACACTCCTGGCCAGGCTGGCATCATTTTAACAAAATCTGCTGTATGTCACTAACCAGGACTTCAGAAGGAAAAAAAAGTCATCTTGGGTTTTTTCAGGGACAGCTTTTAAAGGGAGATAAGTATCTCAAGGGAGATAAAACTATTGATCCTACTGACTTTCACTGGTATTTGCTTTCCTGGTTGTCTTATGAGATGTCTGCAAGAAAAATGATTTATTTGTGTGTGAATAGAGCTGTGCTGTGTTGATGGTGCTTTGGATATAGCTGTAGCCATAAAGCTCTTCTGGGGTTAGTGCAGTAAAACCAGCATGACCACTGCAAGCCCAAAGAGAAACCCTACAAACCATACTAGCCATTCAGCTGGATGTCTATCTTGCAGCAGTGGACAAGCCCTCTCCTTGCATAGCCCCAGGGGTTTTTTGCCCAGGTATTGGGCACAGTTGTTCTGCAGCTGCTCCAGAAATGGGCTGGGATTCTGTGTTTCCAGTAGGACTCCCAAGGACTGTCCATGGGCTTTGTCTGCTGTTCCCCTCACACCCTTATCTCTCTCCATGGCTCTCTGGAAGGAAGATGGGAAGATGAAGCATTTGTGCATCATTAGCACAAATCCCAGTGTGGGAGGAAGGTGCCAACCTCCCTTTAGCCATTTCCTCTGTGTCTCTGTGTGACCCTGTTGCTTCTTTGTCCCATAGCCAGACGAGCTGACCAACGCCTTGGAGATCAGCAACATTGTCTTCACAAGCATGTTTGCCCTGGAGATGCTCCTGAAACTCCTTGCCTTTGGCCTCTTTGGCTACATCAAGAACCCATACAACATCTTTGATGGGATCATAGTCGTCATCAGGTCACTGCCAGTTCTTTCTCCACTGTGGATTTGTCTGCCCAGGGCTCAGAGCAGTGCAGGAGTGGGATGGGGAACAGGAGGGATGTGGCATGCCTGAATCCAGGGCTCACTGGCTATGATGTGCTATAATTACACTGGTCTTTTAGATTCCTGTCATGAGAAGGGTTGTCCAAAACAAATGGACCTGGCAGATGGAGAACAAAGTCTGTTTATGCCACACATCTGGCACTGTGGTCAATTTTCCACTGAAGTGCAGAAGGGCTTGTCCTGGGAAAGGAGTTCTGTGAGTGTCCATATCCCAGCAGCGTGCCCTCCCTCTCCCAAATTAAGACAGAATTTAGACTGGAATAGGGCAAACAAGAAGGTAAGAGAGGGCAGTGCTCTGCTGGCCTCTGCCAGGGTGAAGGACACTGTCCCAGCCTAAACTGGAGATGTCACAGCATCCCAGAAGAAGCAGGCAGCACTTCTGGGGAGTTTGTTCAGCACCTCTCTGTGCTGGGATTCTTCCTAGCAGGGCTGTTCACCCCTCAATCAGGAATTTGGGGCAGTGAAGTCAAGGGAGATGCAGAAGGTGTAAACAAGGACCATGGTCTTGGCCTCAGTTGTCCCATCTCCTTGTCTCAGAGAAGCCCCAGAACAATGACCAGCCCATGGGCTGATCCAACCAACCCACCCTGACAAATTTAAATCCCTCTGGATATTAGCTTAGGACAAAATCCCCATTTTGTGGCTAGGCTAATGACTGGGTGTAGTGGTGCAGACTAGCAGGAGACATGTTGTGAAGAGCCACAGAAAGCCAGGGAAGCAAAGAGTCAAGGAACCAGCTGTGAAGGCTCCGGGTGGTGCATGACCGTGGGCGCTGGGGGCGTGAAGGGGGTTTTGGGGGGCTTAGGTGGGGTGCTACCCTGTCAGAACCCAGCCTGCTCGGGGCTCTCACAGCACAGTGCTGCTCTTCACAGATCTTCTCCTGGTGTTCTGCAGCGTGTGGGAGATCATTGGCCAGTCAGATGGGGGCCTCTCTGTGCTGAGGACCTTTCGGCTGCTCCGGGTGCTGAAGCTGGTGAGGTTCATGCCCGCTCTCCGTCGCCAGCTGGTGGTCCTGATGAAGACAATGGACAACGTGGCCACCTTCTGCATGTTGCTCATGCTCTTCATCTTTATCTTCAGGTGCCAGATGAATTGTTCAGCTTGCTTACATACCACGTAGGTTAGAATAGTGATGGGTTGTGTTTTCCAGGCTGCCCACGTGACAGTTCTCACAATAGAGTGACAAGCAGACACTCAACAGCCTGTTTTGTCTCTTTCCAAGTCTCAGTGTTTCATGCAGTGTTGTAATTCTGCAGATGAATAAAAAATCCACAGGCAGCAATTGCTCTGGAGTTCCATTGAGCTGTGACTCAGGAAACTGTCACTAACTGGGCTCTGCCAGTGTTGCGTTTGAGATGGAGGTTGTACAGACTCCAAGACTTCTGTTTGACCTTATAATGCTCCTCAGGCTCCTGTTCTTGGAAACCACTTGGGTTGAGGAGCTGGCAACGTGGTTTGACATTTTCTAGATGCTGGTTTGACTTCATTTTAGACAGTTGTAATTAAAAGTGACCCAGAAGACCCAAAGGTAGAGTTTGGTCTATCATGTCAGTGGTGGAGCAGAACCCTTCTTCCTGGGAGATGCCACTGGCACACAAGACACTGTGAGGGGAGAAAATGTCCAAAAAAAATCACTGTGAGGGGAGAAATTGTCCAAAAAAATCACTGTGATCCTCCCTGTAACCATATTTCACATAATAATGTGTTTCTGCCATCTGCCTTTTTTCCCACTCCAGCATTCTAGGCATGCATCTTTTTGGATGCAAGTTCAGCCTGAAAACTGATACAGGAGATACAGTTCCAGACAGAAAGAACTTTGATTCCTTACTCTGGGCCATTGTGACTGTATTTCAGGTAAGCTCTGGATTCTCTGGGAATTTTTAATGTAAAGGACCTGGACAAATTATTTCACTGTTTTTAAAAAACCCTATTCCAGAAGATATCAAATGGGGACTGAAGTGGCACTGTAGAGTTGTTAGGGTAAAGGGTTGTGTTTCTGAGTTAGCTGGTCTCTATATGCCCTAGATAGAGAAGCAATCTACTCAAGATCATCACTGTGCTTATCTGGTGTCAGTAAAAGTCTAAGAAGGTTTGGAAATCCACCCTTATTTTCCTTCTGTATAGTCAGTAAGATCAAGACCCACAGCCTGCTGTCCATTCTGCTCCTGTTCTGTAGATCTCTGTCTCCTTATTTCCTTTCACTACCCCAAAAATGCATTTTGCAAACAATTTCATTCCATTGGGAGTGACAAATGCTGTCACAAATGAGAGCTGGAGGCTCTGGCTCTACATGCTGGGAAAGTCCTTATGTAAAAGGTGGTGTTTCCTCTGCAGATGAGATCTGTTATGTGCTTGAAATTACTGGTGTGTTCCACAGTGGAGCAGTAAGCTGCTATTTCCAGGACACTCTAAATATAAAGATTAGTCTTTTCTGTTTAAAAGTCTTAGAGCCCAAGTGCAGCAAGTGGAACACAATGTAAACCATGTTAAGCTGAGTTTCCACATGCAGAGTGGGTGTTCACCACGGTGTCATTCAAGATAGGATCCAGTCCTGAGTCTGCCCTGTGAAGAATAAAACTTAAAGGCCAGCAGCCAAGGACAGATCAGTGTTAGTCTCACAGGTTCATGTTTTTCTTTTACCAACACCAACACAGCTTTCTGCATTTATTTGAACAATCTCTTGGGAAATAGAACTGGCACAGAGCACGAGGGCTCAGTCCTACCTCCCATGAAGGTCAGTGAGTGGCATGACTCCGTGGAGCTGACTGCATTCCTGTCCCCAAAGCCACCTTGCTTTTAGGAGGTTAAAGGCCATTTTCACTCTAAGCAGGAATTAAGGTGGAGTGTGAATCTGTCATCTGGTTTCTGGATTTTCTTCCCAGGATTTTTGAGCTCCAGGAGAGCTAGGAGTCCCTGAGGAAGGTCTCATGGAGCAAGGCTTTGCAAAGAGGTGTATTTTTTTGCCCAGCTTGTCAGTGCTTTTCCCTGAGGGAAACCACTTTGCTTCCTTGAGTTTCTTGAGCCACCCAGCTCCAGGAAAGCTAGGAGTCCCTGAGGAAGGTCCCTTGGAGAGATGTGTGGTTTTTTACCCAGCTTGTCAGTGCTTTTCCCTGAGGGAAACCACTTTGCTTCCTTGAGTTTCTTGAGCCACCCAGTGTCATTTCTCTGATGAAAAGTCATGACCCTTACCCTTTCCTTCAGCTCCCAAGAGCAGCCCAAAAGGAGACAACAGCTCTGACCTCAGGTCTGTTATCTTCTGAAGGTTCTCAAAGGAGGCAATACCCCCAGCAGATAATGGGACTCATAGCACCCCTCGTGTTACCATAGCTGGGATCTGAACCAGTCATCTCTGTGGGAAGTAGTGTGCTAGATCCTCCTGCAGAGAGGAGAGCTTTGGCCAGGAGAAAGCTCTCACATGCAGAGGTCTAAGTAAAGGAATGTTCTACTGCCTCATCTTATGAGGTCTGCCAATGATGATGCTCAGAAAAGGTCAAAAAGAGAGCAAGAAATGACTGAGTCAGTATTTGAATGCTGCTGCTGTGTAGGAGAGGAATGGAGTAATCAGAGTCTTCCCTTCACCTCTCTGCAGATCCTCACCCAAGAGGACTGGAACGTGGTCCTGTACAATGGGATGGCATCTACATCCTCCTGGGCAGCACTCTACTTTGTGGCCCTGATGACCTTTGGCAATTATGTGCTCTTCAACCTCCTTGTTGCCATCCTGGTAGAAGGCTTCCAAGCTGAGGTAAGAGATCTGAGCAGAGGGAGGGAGAAAAATGAGAAGCACCATGTAGGCAGGATGAATCCATGTCAGTGCAAACATCTAGCCATGCAACCAGCCCTAAATTTAAACTTAAGGGGTGTAGATGAGTTGGGGTGGGCATGTGAAGCTCTTGTCAAGCTCTTTGCAAATAGGACTGGCTGGACTTGGCATGGGATTTGAGAGACCAAAACTTTGGTTGATCTGCTACAGGATCCGTTGTGTGACTTAGAGGAAATAGTTCAGGATGGATTTAACTCACCAAATCTCCCATATGTTCTGTGTTTTGTGTTTCTTTATGCTGGGCCTCAGGCCTTCAGTACATCTGGGCAGTGTTAGTCGTGGGGGCCAGGCAGGATGTGAACTGGTTCTCCATAAAACAGCTCTGGTGTGTTATTTGAGGTTGATAGCACAGCTGTTTGAAAGCTGTGTTGCAAGGCTACAGACATTAAATTTTAAGATTCTTAGGATGATGAAGGACCTATAAATGCTAAAGAGATTTTTATCTACACCTGAAAATAATGTCTGCATCTGGTCAACGAGCAGGGAACTTCTGATCAACTGCAGGCATCTCCTCTCACATGGAAAGGAGAAGAGATTTTATGTCTCAGTGAAAAGTGGGGTGCCATGTCCTGAACTGAACTAGGCAGGACCCTCAGCAGCAATGTGGGCAGTCCTGTGCCCCCTGATCCAGAGCAGCATGCCATGCTGGTGTGACTGGTGTGACTGGAGAGTACTGGTGTGAGTGGGGGGACCCTGCAGCCTCTTTAAGTGTTCCTGCCTGCTGGCAAGTCCACTCCAGATCTGCTTTCAGCATCCTGAGGGAGTGAAACCAGCCAGCCCCTGCTATCCTGCTCATCTCCATCCTCCTTTCAGATCACAGCAAGTCCATTTGGGAGAGATTTTAAATGAGGATGATCTTTTTTTGGTCATAAATATAATGATGTATGTGCACATAAACCCTATCCAGGAAAAAATAAATCTACTTTTTTCAACATCCTAGTGCAAATGGAGATGATTTTGAGAATTGCCAAAATTCATCCAGTCCCAGTTAAAACTAGGAACAGTGGCACCAAAAGGGCTCACATCATGCTTTGGGGTTTTTGAATTATTACTGGTTTACTTCTGCAACCATCAAGAAGGGGAAGTTTGCTTAGTGCTGGATTGGCTTCAGAGACACACAGACTCAGAAAGAAAATGAGAAAATGGCTTCAGTTTTCACCACCTTAGCTCCCAAGG